AGAGGTGACTGGAATATGTCAGGGTCACTTCCCTTGGAAAGGGCACTGAACTTGGACTCAGAAGACAGGGGCTCCAGTCCTGATTCTATTACTAGCAACTTCTCTGTGCCTCAGTTTCCTCATCCGTAAAATGAGGTTAGCATCTGCACCTCCAAGATTACCCAAGTAAGATCTCCTTGACTTATCCTAGAGAGCTCTGTGGATTCAGGGGTGAGTACAGTAAGGACACCTCTCTCATCCCTTGGGACAGACATCAGTATCACTGACTCCTTTCCACAGCTGGAGAAACAGGCTCAGAGCAAAATGACAAGTCCAAGTTCCAGGCTGGGCACCTGTCACCAAACCCTTAGCCTCAGATGTCATTCTGCACGTAAACTGGTGGTGGCCCTGCCTGCACCAGGTGCCAACTAATGGCCTTCTCTGTTCTAGCTGTGGGCTTGGCCCTGTCTTGAGGTCAGCACCCTAGCCCGCCCCTAGCCTCACCCTGACGGAGCTCCGCATGGGGCCCAGGTCGTGGTTGTAGGCCTCCACTATTAGCACGTGGGATGAGTTCTGCTCCCGGTCCAGGGGCCGGGGCCCTCGCATCAGGAGCCCGTTGCTGACGTGGATCCGGAAGTTGTTGCCCTGGTTACCTGTGTGGAGGGACAGACCCCCTGGAACACCAACCTTGCCCAGAAGTCTCCTGCTGTGCTGGCCTCCCATGGTTGGGGGCAGAAATTCACCTGTTCCCTCCTTGTGGGGAGGGTGGTGTCTTCCTTGACCCCTATACCCACAGATGTGGGCAGTGTGAGGCCTTGTTAATATTTCAGAAGAACCTGGGGCACTCCAAAAAGAGTGACTGAACCAAATTCTCCATGACTGGCTGGATCTAGGACTCAGTGGGTGTCTCTGGGCTGGTCCAGGACTCATTCCCTCGTCTTCTGGGCACAGCACCCTGATTTTCCTTCGGGGATGCACTCTCCTCTACACTCAGTCCATAACATCTGTGGGTAGTGACTTTACCCCTGATTCAAGAAGTTGGTAGATCAGCATATTTTTTTCTCTGGCCATAGTGATTGCTTCAGGGACGGGCACCAGATTCTGGTTGAACCAATGGGACCCAGTACCTAAGGAGCATGCTGCTGGGGGCTGCTAGGGCCCTCTCTGCCAGGGCCATGGCTTTGAGAAGCTCTGCAGGACACCAGGGACTTCAGGAACACAGGAACTAAAAGCCAACCCCCTCAGCTACCTGGTGTGAATACTGGAGAATGTCCCTGTTTCCTCCTTCTGGCCTCGCCCATGTGTATAGTCCTGGGGTTTTCTTGGCCTCATCTCCCAGACCTTTGGCAGCCTAGAGAAGCTCTGCCCTCCCCCGGGCAGGAGGGCTGCCCCCCCATGCTAGGGTAGCGCCACTTACCGTGGAGGATGCGGTACCATACACGCCCAAACTCGCCTTCATCCGCGTCCGTGGCTTTCAGCTGAGGGAGAAGGAGACACTGGAGTTACTTCTTGACTCCAACCCAGCAGTGGGAGAAGAGGTTTTTGGAGCCCTTCCCTTCCCTTCACGTATCCAACCCCATCCTGCCAAAACCTGCTGTCTCCCACAGAGGCTGGGGGTGTGGGAGACAAGGGGACGTGTGTGTCCCATCCCCACGAGGATGTCCAACTGCTGATGGCCCCTGCGGTCCTGTCCAGTGCCAGCTCTGCCCCGATCCTCCTCCAGGTTCACAAGGAGGACGGAGAAGGTGAAAGATGGCACCGCAGCTCGCTAGGTCCAGGCTCACTCCGGCTGTCCCGTCCTCCACATTCCCTACCCGGCAGCCTCTCCCAGCCCAGGAGCCTCTCCCACAGTGGTTGGACTGCATGGTTGCCTCTGTCCGCATTTCCTTGGCCTGAAGCTATTCTAGCCACACTGGGTCCCAGCCCGACACTGTACACGTAACATTCACTTCATTCACACACTCGGTCACCCCGGTCTAGCTTCAAATCGGCCTGGCAGGCAAGGCTGTGCCTCAGGCTTATGTGTTTATGCGTCGTCTCTGGTGGGGCTTGTGTGTGAGGGATGTCGTTGTCACTCTGAGACACTGCCTAGTGCTCAGCCCTTTGTACAAGGAGTCCAGTCTTGAGGCTATTGGCAGAACTATAGCTGACCCCAGTGTGAGTCCTGTCAAGCCCAGAACTGAATACCTACTTTACCCACTGCCCATCCGAAGCAGGCGGAGAACAAACACCCCCCGGGGCAGTGTGGAGAGAGGCGGGGAGCCTCCCATGACATGTGGTCCTGATGATCCGTGGTGAATTGCTTAGGAAGGCCCTGGGCTCTCCCACTTCTTCTGGGTCTGCCCCTCCCTGTCTCACCACCTCTCACTTCAGTCCTGTGGTATGCACGGAAGCTGCCGTGTTCTTCCTGACCCCAACAAGATGGCCAGAGGAAATTGGTCCAGGACTGGGTGCCTGATCAAAGCTGAGCCAATCGCATCCTTCTCTGGGATTGCTGACCTTGGGCCCAGAGAGAGTGAGTCAGTCTTTCTAGCAGTAAGATGTGGGAATATCAACCGCCCTCTCCTGCCCACCCCCGGGCCCCACCGCCCACCACTCTTTCCTCCTGACTGCCCTAGCTCACTGGTCTCCTGGCTGTTTCTTGAACACCAAGCATGTGCTGGGCTCACGGCTTCTGCCCTGGCTGTTTCCCAGCAAGCTCTCCCTATAGATATTTGTGTGTTCATGCCCTCATTTCCCTCAGGTCTTTGATCAAATATCTCCTCCTAAGACCCTCCCTGAGGACTGCATATGGAGTTATAGCCCCCACTCCAATGTCCTGGCCTTCCCTAACCCCCATCACCCTCTGATACACTCTACCTTTGTTTATCGCCTATATCCCCACAGGAAGAAAGGGCTTTGTGCACTGTCATATCCCTGGTCTCTGGAACAACAATCCTGGCACACAGTAGGGTCAAATATGTGAGCGACTTAGATGCAGAGCTCCAGGGAGAGGAAGTAGGGAACGCTCAGTGAGCAGGAATGAAGGGCTCATGCAACACCCAGCACTGTTTCCCTGGGCCCAGTTATTCCAGGAGCCCAGCTCTGCCTCTCTCCCTGTTGGACTTTTCCTCTGAACCTTTGGGGTATCCCAGTATTGCTCCAGCACACTTCTCCTTTCGCCTAGGTTATTATTATTTTTTTGTAAAGATGGGGTCTTGCTATATTGCCCAGGTTGGTCTCGAACTCCTGGGCTCAAGCAATCCTAATGCCTTGGCTTCCCAAAGTGCTGGGATTACAGGCATCAGCCACCATGTCTGGCCCTGTCTAAGATAATACAGAATGGATTATTTTTCTTGCCACCCAAATCCCTAATACAGGCTTTCCTATCTTTGCTCACTGGACAAAACAGCAGAGAAGATGGGGATGGGTTCCTGCTGGCAAAGATCAAGAAAGCAGTGAGGGCAGGATTGGCTGAAGGTTTCCAAAGCAGGGAGCTGGGTTTGGAAGGATGGGAAGAGCCTAGCTTAGCAGAGAGGGGTGGGAAGAACATTTGTGCTGGGAAACAGTGTAAGCTGAGATAGAGACGGCTGGGGAGACTGAGGAAGGAACTGGGACTCCAGTCTGGAGTGAAGGGCTCATGCAGGGACAGCAGAGGGCTGTGGCTGAAGAGTGGAATGACGGCCTCAATCAGCAGCACTGATGCCTCCGCAGAACGGGGAGCACAGACGTGGCGGTGTGGAGGGACAATGAGGAGCCTGCAGCAGGTGCTGGCCTGGTCGGACTCAATGGACATCCGGGCACTGCGTTAAGCACGTCTAAAGACTGACGAGCACATTGATGGTGGGGAGGAGGACAAGTATGTTGGAGCAAAAGGAACAAGGGCTCTGGGTCAGGCACGCCCAAGTGTGAATTTAGGTTTTGTCACTTACTCTCTGTGGCACCACAGACAAGTACTTTAGCCCCCGGGGCCTCAGTTTCCTCATCACTAGACTGTGTACAATGATGATGCAGGGTTGAGGGGAAGATTAGAAGTCATCCTGCTAAGCATCTTGGCTGGTACCTGGCACAGGGATGGGTAGTGAAGGTTGACATGAGTGATACCACCTTCTCCAAGAAGCCCTCTTGATTTATGCCAGAGTTGGGGATGACCGGGTTGCCCCTTGCCGTGCAGTTCTTTCTCTCCCCATTCCCGGAGAAATCTTAGGAGCTGGAAGGTGGAGGGATGTAATGGGGTGCTTCAACTGTCCAGATCTGGAAAGGCTCAGGACAGGGAAGAGGGCACACTGCCCAGAGCACACCCTTGCGTGTCTATCCATGGTGAGATTTCCTCGACACCTCCCTGCCCCAGCAGCCTGCACCACCCTGGAAGCTTTGCCTTCTGCCATCTCAGGAGGAATGGGGGCCACAGATGAAGGGTTCGGCTGGTTTCAGAAGAGGAAGTTAAGGAAAATGAGGGCAGTGAAGGCTGTGATGGAAGGCGCAGGAATCTCAGTGGGGGCTCTGGGCATTGGAGATGCCTTTGGGTCAGATGCTGTGCCTACACTGTATGCCTGCCCCTGCCCACGCGGCAGAGGGGAAACACCAAGGCCCCCAACACTCACTTGCTGGGTGCCCCTCGGCAGGTCACACCTCTCTGGGCCCCAGTTTGGTCATCTGAGACAAGAGGGGGCTGAGTCAGATAACCCTGAGGATCTCTCCAGCTTTAACAGCACATAGGAAAGCTCCTGTCCATTTTGGGGTTGGCAGACAGTGCCTCTTTTTGTGGGCAAGCGTAGGAGGGAAAAGCCAAAAACCAGAAACTGGGGATTCAACAAAGGGAATGGGTCCAAGGCTCAGGTCTTGGACAAAGCCATGACTCCCATCTTGAGTTGCACTTCTGGGAGCTTGGAGGTCCCTGGTGGGGAGGCTGCTGAAGACCTGGGCTCCTAAGTAGGCGGCTGGTTGCCAGGGAAGAAGAAAGAAGGCAAGGGGGGGAGAAAGAGAGAGAGAGAGAGAGAAAGAGAGAGAGAGAGAGAGAGAGAGTGTGTGTGTGTGTGTGTGTGCGCGCGCGCTGGGGGGGGTTTGGAAAGAGCCCCCAGTGGAGGTCTCTCCGTGGCCCCCCACACTGTGGGGAGCATGGCCTTGGCGGTCCCTCAGTCCTGTGCTTTCTGCTCTGGGATCCCCCTGACCTTTGAAGATGCCTCTCACCCCTCGCTTCTGTAGCCAGACACCTTCAAAAGGAAGGTGCTTTTCTAGAAGCTGAGGGAAAAGCCTGGAAGGAGCGGAGCCCAGGGACGCTGCAGGAGGAGCCTCAGGGGCTGCCAGGGCCCAGCACTCTGCCTGCTCCCCTCCCATCGCGGTTTGTAGCCCCTCTCCCGGGTAACCTGTCGGCTGGCAGGCACTGAATAGTGACCCGCTGGCTGCCGCCGACCATACCATTCAAACTTCCAACAGGGGAAGGTGAGCGCCATGGGAAGGCAGAGGCAGTCAAACCCTCCCCCTGCGTCTCCCCAGTCCCCCACCCCTGAGAGGGCTCCGAGGAGACAGGCTGGAGCGAGGAGGTGGGAAGGCTGGGGGGCATCCCTGCACCTCTGGACAGCTCCCCTCTGCCTCTTCCCAACCCAGCTGCCGTCCCCACTCCCTTAGCTATCCCCTCCCTCCCCCAAGACAGGGCCCCAACTCTTCCAGACAAAGCCAGGTCCAGCTGGGGAGTGACGGGGAGGCCACTCTGCCCGTGGGCTGCAGGGCACAGCAGAGCCCGGGCAGGGCTGGGGTCACAGGCTCTTCGGGACTCCCTTGCACAGCAGAGAAGACCTCTCCACGGAGCTCCGGATGGCTGGGGGCTGGCTCTGAGGTCAGTGCTTGGGGGACTACAGGAGAAGGCTTGGAGAGGGATGAGTGGTGGGAACCCTGGCTGGGGGACTCCTGGGAGAATGTGAGGCTGTGCTCAGACCTGGACAGTCCTCTGGTTCTGTAAAGAGGGGAAGCAAGGCCCAGTAAGGGGTAGGGACCAGTCCAAGGCCACACAGCAGTCTTCTCTACCCACAGCAGGGCCTGCTCTCTGGCACTCTAAGGGAAGAGGAAGGTTCTAGAATGAGCTTGCAGAGATATGTCCAGAGCAGGGCCTGCTGGCGCACCCTGGCCCCAATGGGAAGGGAGTGGCTTCAACTGCCCTCCAGATGATTCTTGGCTTGGTCTAGGCAAGGTGCCCTCCCCCAGCACTAGCTGGCCTTTGCTGGTTAGTCAGTAGGGGGTGTCAAGCGGCCTGATAGCTGGACTTGCCTTGTGCTCTGGGAAGGGTGTTGTGTTGTTTTCAAGCACTTAGGAATCTCATGTTGCCACAGGAACTACTCAGATGCTAATTACAACTCCACTTATCCTTTTTTTTTTTTTTTTTTTTTTTTTTGAGACACAGTGTTTCTCTGTTGCTCAGGCTGTAGTGCATGGTGTGATCATAGCTCACTGCAGCCTCAAACTTTTGGGCTCAAATGATCTTTCTGCCTCAGCCCCTGAGTAGCTGGGGCCACAGGCACATACTGCAACACGTGGCTAATTTTTTTTTTTTTTTTTTTAAGAAATGAGGTCTCATATGTTGCCCAGGCTGTTCTCAAACTCCTGGGCTCAAGTGATCCTCCCATCTTGGCCTCCCAAAGGGCTGGGATTACTGGCATGAGCTGACACACCTGGCCTCACTTATCTTTTTATTAAAGCAGATCCCAAGGCCTGAAGCCTGGATGCTCTTTGCTAGCCCAAAAGGGTCTCCAGATTCCTTTGAAGGCCTTGAAATAACATTAGAACTAGCAGGACTGAAGCATCTCCCATTTCAGACTGTCCTTTTCTTACTCCCAGCCAAGCATTGCCCAGGGTAGGGTAGAGGGATGGCTGATTTTCTCCCCATGGGAGTGGGCAGTGGGCACAGCCCCTCCCTCCTCCCTGCTCAGACTCAAGGGAAGGCCAACCCATGCACAGCTGCCCAGCCAGAGTGCTCCCTAGGACTGATGCTGCAAAGGCGGAGGCCCTGGGCAGCTAGACGGGCATCACACTTTCCAGCCGGGTGCTGGGAGGGGTCGTTTTCTGCCTGGAAGTGCTGGGAGGGGTGGTGGTGGGGAGTGGGTGGGAGGTGGGGTGCTCTGCCTGCCCTCAGTCGGCTGGGCGCGGGGAGCCAGGAGTCAGGTCCTGCGGCTGCTGGTGAGTGCTTGGGGCAGGGACAGGAGTCCCTCGGGTGGGGGACTGGGTGGCCCGCTTCCCTCCCCACTACCTGTGGCAGAGTTTTTCTGCAGCCTACACGCAGAGCCTGGGTGTGTCCTGAGGCTTTTCCTCCTCCTGCGCTTCTGTGCTAGAAACTGGACTGTTATCTAAGCTGCAAGCTGGGAAGGAGGAAAATCTGCCATCCCCCAGCCTCATGGAAAGGAAAGACCCCAAAGTCAAAGGGAAATCAGAATTTTTTTTTTTTTATCAGAACCCCTGGGACTTCTTGTCCGCGTTAGTAGAACTGAACGATCACATGTGCTGACCTGCAAGCTGGACGTCCTCTGCTTATGTGTTTTCTTCGGCTGGTCTAGTGTTTCAAATATTTGAAAATTAATTTCACATTATTTTGAAATCAAGTTTATTTGGCCTTTGCTGTGTTCTCCCCCACCCCACTGCTCTTTTCTTTCCTTAAACAAATTTGAATTTGTTACCAACATTTAAACGTCTAGAATGTTTGCCTAAAAAAAAATCCAGATTTCCGGCTTCTCCTGGGAAATTGACAAAGCTGACCACACTGGGCCTGCACTTGGCACCGGCACCGCTGGTCTGGGCTGAGGCCCCCCCCCACTTCCTTGAGAGGGCCCAGCCAGTGCTCTCCAGGTGGGCCAGCTCCTCCGGGTCCCCTCTGGTCATGCTCTAGCTTCTGGCCAGGCTCTGTGAGCATTTTTATCGCAACCCCACACATACTGAGCCAAAAGCTTAGCCTGGTTTTCCATCGACAAGGACACCTGCTGCATTGTGTCGCATGGGATAATCTTCAGCAGGAACGGAAATGCCCTGTCAGGTGCATGCTGTCCCTGACGGGGGGGTTCCAGCCCCACTTGTCAGCCCCCTGTGGGTTTATTTCCCACCTGTTCCTGGAGCAGCTCACTGAGCCCAGAAACGGCTAGGGGCCAGAGGGGTGGCAAGGCCATGGGGCCAGGAGTCAGGAGACCTGCTTTTGGCCTTTACTTGGCCACTGGCTCACAGTGTGGCCTTGGCCTTCCCACCACCAAGCTGGCCCACCCCACCCTGCTGTGACCCACAATGCAGCCAGCCAAGTCTTCCCAAGGAGTGAGCTCCAGCTTGTCACTACCCAGCTCTAAAACCTTAATGCCAAATCCCCTCTTTGGGCCTCAGTTTCCCTACCTGCCACAGGAGCAAGTTGGACTGCATTGGGAAGCAGCCACAGGAATCCCCACAGGGCCAGGCAGGTGAAATAAGGTGTGTGGTGGGCCTGTGAGGGAGTGCAGGGAGCTGGAGGTCGGTCCTCTGTCTACGGGGCGGGCAGCAGCTGCTCAGCCCCAGACACAGATATGAGGCCGGAATGTGGGCCAGTGCCAATGGTGAAATTCTGACATTTCAAGAGAAGTCAGGCATCCAGATATTTTTGTGAAATCTGTTATTATTTTGAAAATATTCACAATTAAATTTATGAAAACACAGGAAGGACCCAACGAAACACATCAGTGGGCCCCCAGTTTGCAGCCTCGGCATTAGATAACTGCTATGGTCCCTGGTAGCTGCAGCCTCCTACCATCCATAACTTGCTCCTGGCCACAGAGCAAGTTATTGATGGAGCTGATCCCAAGTTTTCAGGCCTAAGACCCTATGGTGATTCATGAGGATTGATTTGGAGATGTGGACAGGCACCACCCTCTTGTCTCCCTGGCCAATGGGCTGGGGGTGGAGCAGGAAGAGGGCCTGAGCCTGGGCCCAGCTCCATCACTGCTCAGCTGTCTGTGCACTTAGGCTTGTCATGTCTCTGGGCTTCATTGTCCTAACCTGTTATGTGGCCATGATGCTGTCCCGTTTAACACTGCCTCGCCCCCATCCATGTTCCCTAGGTGAGTCTCCCCCGCACCCGCTGCCCTGGGTCTGGCTGATCTGCCTTTCAGCTTCTGTCCTGTTGCTGTTTCAGGAACCATGAGCACAGAGGGCCCCAGCCTCACCAGCTCCCCAGCCATCAGCCCCCTCGCCTTTCTCTCAGCTCCTGTCACTCCCGGGACCCTTGCAGAGGCAATCGGCCCCCTCCCCATGCTCATCGCCCTGGCCTGCATCTTCCTCCTGCTGGCCACCTGTCTGCTGTTCATGACACTCTGTAAGCCGGTAGCGCTGGACCCGAGCCGCCGCAGGGCTCGTGAGTGCATGCCCCACCACCCTGGGAGCCCCAGTGAGCCCCAGCTCCGGCTCTGGAAGCGCCTGGGCTCGCTGCGCCTCTCCCTGAACAGCTTCCGTCATGGCCGGCCCACCACCCCTCGACAGCACCTGCCAGGCCCTGGTGACAGCCATGGCGACTGCGACCGCACGGAATCGACCAAGATGTGACGGGGTGTCCATACACATGCCCCCTAGGTCCTGCAGATCCTCCTGCCTCAGACAGAGACCAGTGCTGCAGGCTGCAAGAAGACAGTGGCCCAAGCAGCCTGGGCCACCTCCCCTCCAGAAGCTCCCTGCATGCCCAGGCCAGTGCCCTTTCCCAGAGATGGTCCTCGGAAGAGCACTTTCCTCTCTGCAGACTCCCTAGCTGCTGCTTGCTGAAGATTTCCTGTCAAGAGATGAGCACTTGTGGCCATCTGGGCCTTTGGCTTGAGGCTCCACAGCGGACAACCTAGGGCTCATAACCACCTCCTAGAAGCAGCACCCTCGCTCCCCACAGAAGCCTTGCTCTCCAGGTACCAAAGCCCAGCTTGCGGAAGTTGCCGAATGGCAAAGGTTCCCTTTGGCAGAGTGAAATGCTCAGCCTCCACCAGAGCCAAGGTACTGCCCTGCTATCTGTGCTGGCCCAGTGCTGGGGCAACACGCCAAGGCTCCCTTTCTTGGGTTTCCTGGGCACTGCCTCCCTCCTGGGATCCGATGCCTTGGCCCTGGCTGGGAAGAGGGGCAAACGGGTGTTCTCCAAGCACAGTCTTGGCAGCCGTCTTGGTGGCCCCTCTTCCGGGCACTCACCCAGTCCAGTTGGGATCAATCAGGAAAGGACTGAGGATGGGTGAGGAGGCTCCCTTCAGAGGCCAGGGCAGGTGCTGTGACAGAGCATCAAGAGGAAGGACACTGCCAGCAGCTGGAGGTGACGCCACCGGGGCTCGGAGGAGGACAGCTCACAGCGGCTCCACAACTCACCCAGGGAAAGAGGCAGCTTCCCCGAGGGTGGGATGGTCCAGACCTTTCCAGGACAGCTGTGGGGCCCCAGGCCCGGCCCACACTTAGGGATGCTATCTGTGTTTTTGGAGAGTGCTTTGCTGACTACCTGTCAAAGCAGTCCCACCCCAGGATGGCTTCTCAGAATCCCAAGCCCTTGCTTCACCTCTCCCCACAAGGCCAAGGTGAAACACTTTGGTCAGGTCCCAAATTTGAAGGGTGGGCAGAGGGAGGACTTGGGCCGCCACGCTCCTGCTGCAGTCAGCCGACAAGGATCCCGCCACAAAACTGCCCCTGGCTCTCTCCTCAACTCCTTTCCGGGAAAGGAGTGCAGTCAGCCAAGTCTTCCCAGGGAGTGAGCTGTGTGGCTTGCCACTCTGCAGCTCTAAAACCTTCACTGGCTCCCTAATGTCAAATGGATACAGCCAAAGCTCCCCAGTCCAGGGCGCAGTGCCCTCTGTGATCAGGCTTCAACAAATCTTTCTAGCATCATCTTGATCCAAAACTCCAGGCACACTGAACGACCTGTCACCCCAACTGTGGCTTATGCTTCACACACACCCACTCTGTGAAGCCCTCCTGCCTGGACCCACCCCCACTCTCTCCCACCTCTCTTGGGGAGGACAAGGAACATTCTCTTGGCAGCATGAGTCCTTCTTGTCTACGTCTTCTCTTTCCTACCAGCCTGGGAGCTTGCAGAGGGCCAGCCCTCGTCCAACCCCTCACTTTGACTCCCCAGTTTTGTGCACAGAAGTATGAGGCCTCTGTGTACAGAGGGAAGAGTGGCCCAGCCGGGGGGTGTCCCCGCCCTCTCAGGCAGGAGTCTGGTGGGAGCTGGCACAACACAGAGCCCCATCTTCCCTGAGATGCCCCTAGATAGATTTCTCTCCAAGCAGACCCTGTTGGAAAAGGCTACTTCCTTCTAAGCCAATCTGATCCCAAAAAGTGAGTCCGGCTTTACAAGAAACTTAGAGGACCTCGGAGAAGTCATCCTGAGACTGCATTTCTCCCTGAGAAATGGGGAGAAATCAGTGCTGCCCTATATTAACTCACGAGCTCGAGGATTTCAGTATGAGTGGTATTGTGTAAATAGAAACCGATCCCTTGGGTTTAGAAAGTGGGGCAGGCTTCCTCCCTCAGGGTTTTGTCCCTTCCTCCCTTCTGGCTCAGTAATCTCTTCCTGGTTTGCTTCCCCTGGGGCCTCCCTGCGTATCCCAGGCTGGATTCAGCCTGTAGCCATCCATCCCACCAGCAGGCCCTGCTTGCCACTAGCATTCTCTTCCTGGAGGTTGGGGTAGGGGATGAGGCTGCCTAGAGGCCTGAAGAAGGAAAAGCCCAGGAGTGGGAGGGGCTCTCAATTGGGTTTCAGGTGCCAGGCCAGGGGGTATGCTCCAAGTCCTCACCAGCTGAGGCCCTGATAGAGAGAACCCTCTCCTTCTCCTTCTGGAGCCAGCCACCACACTCTCTCAAATCCCCAGGGCTTTCTGGCTCTCTGTGTTTCTCGGAGTCAGCTCCCTGCACCCCAGCCCTTTCCTGCCCGCCTCCTGGTCCCAATGTAGGGAGGCGAGCATTGCCAGCCTCCCACGCTTCTGCCCCTCCCAAGCCTGGGAGCCTGCCCCGGTGAGCAGGTCCAGATTTGCTGTTTGGCTCAGCCTCCTAGTTTGAAACCCCATAGCTGGTAAAGAGACTCATTCATTCCGGGCCTCCCTCCCCACCCAGCAACTGAGGCCTCTAGGCAGGAGTGGGGGGGCACCTAGATCGTTTTCAGGGTCCTCCCCTCTCTCCCTCTGAGCCTCGGAGCTGTTGTGCCTGCTCCCTGGGCAAAGGAGCCCTTTCTTCTTGGGCCTGTTTACTTCCCGAGAGAGGAGCCTCGGCCAAGGGCGCTGTGAAAGCAGCTCTGTTCTGGGCCTTGCTGGGGGCCCTGGCTCGCTCCTCAACTCCTTTCCGGGAAATTGTGACATCTCCTTCTCCCTCCTACTCTGAAAGGCCCTTCTGGGTGGGGTGGGAGATGTGGAGGGGGAGGCCAAGACTTCTTTCTGTTTGTGGGGAGCCAGAGCCCTGTCCTTAGCTCTGCAACCTGGGGGCCTACACTCCCTGGGATGGGAGGGTGCCTGGGTTCCCCTTTCCCCACAGCACCTTCCAGAGCAGCAGACCCACCCTGGGTACTTGCCTGGTTCCGCCCCTGGTGCCACTGAGCATATGCCCTCAGGGCTGTGTGTGGCCCCACCTCTCCCCGCCCACCGCCTGGCCCAGGAGCCACGGGCCACCTGCCTGCACGATGCTGTGGCCTTCGGGGATGTCCTCGGGGACGCTGGCCTCATAGCTGCTCTGCAGAAAGATGGGCCGGTTGTCATTCACATCCAGGACGGTGACGAACACAGTGGCTGTGCCTGTGTGCCGCTTCCCTACAGGGCCGTTGTCTGTGGGAGTTGAAGGAGGACAGGTGTTAGCAGCTGCCTGAGACAGGGGCACACTTCCTGCGCCTTTGCACACTCCTGGGCATCAGCCAGAGAGGTGCTGTGTTCTGCCCCACCCGCCTTAGCCTTTGCAAAGGCGACTTCCTTTTTAGCTTAGGAATACCACCAACAGTGTCTGATGCTTAGATAGCACCGTGTGCCAGGCATTCTTCCAACCCCTTCAGTCCTCACAGCAGCCCCATGAAGCAGGCACTATTACTGTCATCCCCATTTTACAGAGGAGGTAACTGAGGCACTCAAGTGGATTGAATGATGGCTCCCAAAAAAGACAGACCCATGTTAAATCCCTGGGAAGCTGTGAAGGTTAATTTATTTGGAAAGGGGCCTTTGAAAATGTACATTAGGGATCTTGAGACTTGATCACCCTGGATGATCTGGGTGGCCCACAAATCCAATGGCAAGTGTCCTTATGAGAGAAAGGCAGAGGGAGGTTTGAGAAAGAGAGGAGGCCATGTGCAGATGGAGGCAGAGGCAGGACTGATGCTGCCACAAGCCACGGAATGCCTAGCGACTCCAGAAACTAGCAGAGTCAAGGACCGATTCTCGCCAGAGCCTCTGGAGGAAGCATGACCCTGCCCACAGTTTAATTTCTAACCTCTGGCCTCCAGAACCAAGAGAGAATACACTTCTGTGGTTTTAAGACACCACGTTTGTGGTAGTTTGTCATGGCAAATTTAGGACGCAGATACAGGTACTCAGAGCAAAAAGCCCACAGCTGTCAGGAGCGGCAGGCGTAGCGCCCAGGTCCAACACCTGGGTGGGCCCTTGAGGGGCAGCTGTCCTCCACTCCACAGCGGACAGGAAGAATGTGGGCCCAGGGATGCCAGATCTCCTGATTGCTCATGAGAAATTGAACTTCTGAGCTTTTCAATAAAATCTCCTGATTTAAAAATATTCACAACTAATGGTCATTCTTTATAAAATATTGGATAGGTGAAACAAACGTGCCCTCTGCATTCAGGGACACGGCCTTTGCTTGGGATCTAAGCCTCAGGTACCCGGAGACTCTGTCCCTCCAGTTACCAGCAGGACTCTGCCAGGGCTGGGGAGGTGGGGAGGATGGGGAGGTGGGGAGGATGGGGAGGTGGGG